TGGGGCACAACGCGACCCCCTCGAGGTTCCTGGGTGCGCCCTGCCGGCTTGAGTGGGAAACTGGGGACCTGGGGGAAGGGGCTTCTCCCGCTGGGCCCCCTTCCACAGCCTCTTGAGCCAAGGCCACGGAGCCAGGTGTGCAGAGCGAACAACCAGCTGCTGCGATGCTGCAGTGGGTGCTCTGCAGCACCCTAGGACCCAGGGGCCCTGAGATGTCTAGTTCCCAAGGCCCCTGACGGACTGCCATGAAAACACGCATTTCACCCAATTCATGCACTGCCCCAGAAAAGGAAGGAAGGGCCCCGGCTGAACGCGGCTCAGGCCAGAGGAAATCTTTTGTCCTCAGTTCAGAAGGGGCTACGCATGTGGGCTAAATGGACTTATCAGAGCTGACTATGTCGGACTGCAGGAGCGCTACGGTAAAAGCGGTTTCTCTGGGAGAGGCGGTGTCTGATCCCGGCGCGGAGGCCTACGCTTCCGTGAGCTCTGTAGACGCGGACGTGCTTGGAGCAGCTCCGGGCTGCAGGGCGGCCTTCCGTGGCCCCGTGCCCTTCAGTGGTATTGGATTAACCCCCCCGCTCCCAGCCTTGGGGGAGAGCCCTGTCTTTGAAGCGTGCCCACTGTCTGCTTTATTCTCTGCCGAAGGTATATCTCCACTTTCCGCTCATCCATCAAACGTGAAATGCAGGAACAGAGGAAAGCTCCGTGCCAAACGATGGGAATACCGAAGCTCGAAGTCCCCACCCCGAAAGAGTATCTCCGGAAACGTTCAAAGGAGCCCAAGGTCCCCAAATGTATGTTTGAGCACCCGCTCTTTTCCTCCACGCCTTGCCCACCTGCCCCTGAGGAAACGGAGCCTCCAAAGGTCCCCGGAGGCTGCTGAATGCGAACCTCCCTGTTTGGTCTAGACGCCGGTCAACTGGGGACCGGGGCAGAGCGGAGCCCGTCCAGCTGGTGCACTTCATCCCGGAAGCATCTCAGTGTCGGGGTGGGAGCAGGACGGGGGCTGGCGAGGCCCTTGTCCTGCTCCGGCTTCAGGGCAGCTCTGGCCTTCCTTTCACCCAGGGCCGGTCCAGGGCGCTCTGTTTCTGGCTGGCCTTCTGGCTTTTTCCAGGGAGGGTCTAGTGGGAAATGACCTCACTGCCTTGGGGGGATTTGTTAGACTTATACCTGGGAACTCGAGGCGTCTCCCCCTCCAGGGGTGCCCACAGCCCTGGGCAATAGGCTAGCCTGGAAGTGGCCCCCCAGGGAGCTTCCGTGGCCGAGGTGAACTCGAAAGTGCGTGTCCCTGCTCCGAGTCCAGCAGCTTCAGCGCTACCCCACGCTGGTTCAACACGGCAGGTCTCGGGACATCTGGGCATCTAATGTCCAGCCACAGCAGAGGCAGATGTCCTTAGGAAGAGGCTTCCTGGTCAGAGAGAGAGAGACGGGGAGTGAATGGACCGCTTCTTCTGAAGTCCTGAGACCTTTCAGCAAATTCAGGGAATCCCCTTTTCTGGTACCGGACAGAAGCTCTTCACCTGACCCGGGCCCAGCAGCATCCGCTTCCTTGCTTCCGAATATTCAGAAGCCCCACCCCACCGCCAGCCCCCATCTCCAGGGGGTGGACATGCATGTAGATGAGTAAACTTAGATCTATCAGGGTGGAAGTCACCGCAGCCCGGGTGTCGCAGCCGTTGACCCTTAGGGCAAGCCTGACACATTCCTTGGAAATAAATGCCAATGGCTTCATTCAGGTAAGCGAAGTACTACGTGAGACCAGTCAGCGTGCCAATGTTTATGTTTGCATACACACAAGTGCTCCTTTTAAAAATCGCTGCATTAGAATTTAAAAAGTAATTGATGAATTCTGCAAGGATTCATGTTACTGTTCACTTTCCAGTAATCTGGAAATGAAGCCACATCTGAGGCTGCAAAACAGCTGCTGGTATCTTCTGAAAGCTATCTGGGTCCCACCCCCAGAAACAAATGAACAGGGTCCCACCCCTAGAAAAAGACCTCCTCCAGTTTTCACCCTACCATTGGGTGCAACTGGGTATCTGAGGGAGGGGACCCCAAAGGAGGCCTTAAACATTAACAGAATCCTGTGGGGGGTGGGATTCCTTTGAGGTATTCGCCCCAAACGTCCGGCCCTTACAGGTCCAAAGAAGCCCAGGGAGCCGCTGCCGGGGGGGGGGCCGTCAAAATAGGGCTGATTTGGCGTGTCCTGTCCTTTTTGGGAATT